AAGCTGCTTTTATTGCCTCAACGTATCGCCCTCTGTAGAGCTAGAAATGTGAAACGTGCTTGGCAGAACATTTTTTTTAACTGGGAACTCCTGAGTGTTTGAGCCCCCATAAGTCTCAGGGGAAACAATGGGATGGAAACTTAATATTCTTAAGGACCCCTGAGAGTCATGGGGCTCTTAACACGAGCGAGTCTTACAAACCCATACTAGAGTTTTAGAAGACCCTTATTGGTGTCTTAGAAACACTTAGCCTAGTCTCAGGGACAGGTACCAGGAGGTAGGAACCCTTACTAGAGACGGTTAACAGTCTCAAGGTCCCTAACAGAGGCTTTGGAACCCTTAGCAGAGTCTCAGGGATATATATGGCCAGGAGCTGTGAATCGACCCCTGCAGTCACAAATAAGTGAGTACATACCTCAGTCTCGGACTTATCCTCTTCACCTTTTCCCTTGGGGCCAGGAGCCACAACTTAGTTCATGTCTTCATAGTGTTAAAACATCCATAAAAGATGGCCTTGCCCCCTCACCCTCCGGCATTTTTCTTTCTGATGCGCATCCTTCAAAGCCATCTCGCGGAAGGATGCCTCCCTGACTCTCATGCATAGGATTAATATATATCCTTACCGACCCTGTCTTTTCACCAGCTTCCTGCCCGCCCCAAATTTTTACCATGGCTCCTTTTTATCTTAAATTTCCGCCACTTTGAGCCCAGATGCAGCGCCCCTGGCCGCTTTGCTCTCTCTCTCTGTCGGGTGAACTTTGGGGTCCACCTCACTTCCCTCTTCAGCGAGACGGCCGTTGACGTGTATCGGTGTTCAGCGAAGCTTCGCTTCACCGAGTGATCATCTGTGCTTTGTAAGGGGTAATCTGTGTACAATGAGTGTTAATCTGTGTACAGTGGCTGCTAAACTGTGTAGGGTAGATGTTAATCTCTGTACACTGGAGTGTACATTGGACGATAATATGAGTACATTTGACATTAATCTGTGTACATTGTTTGCCTACGGAGGCAGATGTTTAGCATACAGTGACTGTTATTCTGTGTACACTGAGTTAATATGCGTACAGTGGCTGCTACTCTGCCTACAAAGAAAATTAATTTACATACTCTGGCTGTCATTTTGCATTCAGTGTTATGTTATTCTGCATATAACTGCATTTACTACACGTACACTGGCTGTTAATCTGTATACACTTTTGTATGCTTTTATACAATTTTGTATATACTTTTCAACCATTGCATTGTTTTTATTTGACTTTTAAATAAATTTATTGTACACCCTATATCCATTTTATGGAAGGTAGCCTAAAAGCACATGGATACACCAGAGGCCTAGGAACTAGGCCCCAAAAAGGCTTAACAGGAGTGGGATAAAAACCGAGACAAATGACAACCAGATATTTTAAAGATTTGGTGGCGATGAAAACACATTAAAAACCCAGACAGGCAAATATTATTGCAATTAAATGTAAGAGGTAGCGAATGCAATGTTGGGGCAGTAATGATGCAAGATAACGAAACTGACTCTGGGAAAAATCATATCACAGCACGTGTAGGAATCGAACCAATGGCAGGTGAGACCTGAAATTTGCAGGCCAGTGCACTCTCGAAGTCTGATGCCACGATTAGTATTGATGTTTCTCACCCTGGACGAGAATGTCACAGTACAGTCTCTGACGCAATTCAGAAATAAAATTTGGATGACCTGTAGTTTTTCTAGGGCCATTAAATCGTAACATAGCATCTTGTGGAACTGTAAATCTGGAACTCAATTTGCTTCTACAGTTTTTGGCACTGTATCGGAAACACTATCAAACTACGGAAAAAGAAAACATTTATTAGGGCTTTAAAATATTTTGAAGTGTTTTTCAGTGAGTCTCCCATGAAACGTCTTGAACGCTTCCCGAGTCCAGTACAGAGAAGAATGGTGGAAAATCGGAAGGAATTTTAGGTAATCAGTCCCTCGGCTTGGAGTCGATGTAATCAGTCCGTCAATCTTGATGGAATGATTACGTCGACTCAGCAACAGCAAACTCAGTACGAATTGGACAAAAAAGAAAGCAGCAGGACATATGACGGTAAAGGTAATCATCTGAGTGCAGATGGGACACCTGTTTTAAACAAGAATGGCACAACTGGAGATCATTAGAGCATAAAGACATCAAATGGACACCAGTGGAATACCATTAGGTCAAGAGAATGGCTGGAATAAGACCATATCAAAACACTAGCAGGGGAGGAGAGTGGTGAGGGGTGGGGGGGGGTGGGGGAAGGACGAGTGGTGAACACGTGAGTACAACACAGCTGGTGAGGGCAGCGTGAGAATTGGGGTGTTCTTCAGGACATCCAAGAGGTGCACCTGAGCGAACTTCCTGTGTGACCAGTGCACCATGAGTCACCCCCCCTCCCTCTTCCTCCCTTCAAAGGGAGAACTAAACCACTAACCACCACCACCACTACCAATCGCCACCACTACCAATCGCCACCACTACCAATCGCCACCACTACCAATCGCCACCACTACCAATCACCACCACTGCCAATCACCACCACTGCCAATCACCACCCCTGCCATTACCACCCCTACATCACCACCTACCATCACCACCCCTACCATCACCACCCCTACCATCACCACCCCTACCATCACCACCCCTACCATCACCACCCCTACCATCACCACCCCTACCATCACAATAACCATGAAACAAAAGCTTCCACTACATCATCCACCACAAAACCTTCATACTATTAATGTATTTTGAAAACTGGAGAGGGAAGTAGACGTTGTATGTAAGTCTTTGTACAGTGATGAGCAGCGTTATTGCCTCGCTGGAGAAACTGTAGAGGATGGAAGAATGGGGAAGAGAGAGAAGGAAGGAAGAGGGATGGAAGTAGAGAGGGAGGAAAGACTGGAAACGCTAAAACTGGTTCTATTTCGGTAACGTTTTGTTTTTTTACACAGGGTTTGACAAGGTTAGGCTAAGGATCCCTGACTTTAGTGACAAGCTATTTACAAGTTAAATAGTAACGCTCATCTTGCCATATAGGACAAGTGAAAATTTGTGTATGCAATAATTTCGCCAAAATCATTCTGAACCTAACGAAAAAAAAAATATATATTTCACTGTGTTTGTTTAGTATTAAATTACTGTAAACAAATCTAAAATATATTTAGTTGGGTTAGGCTAAAATAAATTGCTCTTGTTATAATAAGGTTAGGTAAGTTTTCTAAGATTCTTTTGGTGCAAAATTAAATAAAATTTACATTAGCATTAATAAAAAATATATATCTTTAAACGTATAAAAGAAAATTTCAGAAAGACTTAATTTTAAATGAGTTCTTGCTAATTGACCAGTTTTACATATTCGGCACGACACACACACACACACACACACACACACACACACACACATATATATATTTATTTATCATCTGTTACTACAACTACTACAACCACTACAACCGCTACAACTACAACCACTACAACTACAACCACTACAACTGCTACATCAACTACAGCCACTACAACTACAACCGCTACAACTACTGCAACTGATAACCACTACAACTACTACAACCACACTGCAACTACTACAGGTGCCACGCAAGTTTTTCCCGAATAGTAGGTGCCCCGAGGTTCGTGGATGGCTCTTGGTCCAAGGAAGTGGAGCTAATCTTCCCTTCCTTGCATCGAATCTGATTGTCTTCTATTCCCCAAGCACTGTATGACCCCTCGGGGTTTAGCACTCCTGGTCTATTACTACTGTTCACCAGGATGGACAAGTTAGCTTGGAGAAGCTGGTGACGGAGGATCGAGCCTTCATAAGAGGAATGATCCACGCAGAGCTACGGAGGATCGAGCCTTCACATAGGTTTCAACCTTCCATCTCCAGTCCATCACTCGCGTCAACATCTCTCAAAATCTATCTCAGAAGAATAAGAAAAAATATTAAATATGAAATACATCAAAATGAATTTGTTGATAAATTTCTTGATCGCTCTGGTGATAATAGTTGTGTCTGGTGCTGACACTAATGTTGTCCAAGATGATGGGTGGCGACCTGCCCATCTGGGCACTAATCTTAAACTACTTCGTGGTCGACGTGACCGCCAGAGAGGGTTTGACCCAAGTCTTCCTGACGTCCAGGGAGGAGTGGTTGACCATGGTTTTGGTCTTCTTCCTGACGTCCAGGGAGAAGGACTGGTTGACCCTGGTCTTCCTGACCACCAGGGAGGTGGTCTGGATTACGGGAATGTAGGTTACGTGGAGAGACGTGGTGAACGACCTCGTGGTTACCTGGGCTTCCCTGGCGGATACTCCTACATGGACGATGAATTCTCAGACACCGACGACTCCTGGGACACCGACGAAGACTACTCAGACACCGATGACTCCTGGGACACCGACGACTCCTGGGACACCGACGAAGACTACTCAGACACCGACGACTTCTGGAACACTGACGAAGACTACTCAGACACCGAAGACTCCTGGGACACCGACGAAGACTACTCAGACACCGACGACTTCTGGAACACTGACGAAGACTACTCCAGCGAATACAACCTTCCTGTTACATTTGACGATGCCCGTGAAGGAAATTAGGGCGAACATCCAGCTGGTGCAGTGGATGAATACCTCGGTGGTACAGAGGAAGAGCACCCAGCTGGTGCAGTGGATGAAAGCCTCGGTGGTACAGAGGAAGAGCACCCAGCTGGTGCAGTGGATGAAAACCTCGGTGGTACAGAGGAAGAGCACCCAGCTGGTGTAGTGGATGAAAACATCGGTGGTACAGAGGAAGAGCACCCAGCTGGTGCAGTGGATGAAAACCTCGGTGGTACAGAGGAAGAGCACCCAGCTGGTGCAGTGGATGAAAACCTCGGTGGTACAGAGGAAGAGCACCCAGCTGGTGTAGTGGATGAAAACCTCGGTGGTACAGAGGAAGAGCACCCAGCTGGTGCAGTGGATGAAAGCCTCGGTGGTAAGAGGAAGAGCACCCAGCTGGTGCAGTGGATGAAAACCTCGGTGGTACAGAGGAAGAGCACCCAGCTGGTGCAGTGGATGAAAACCTCGGTGGTACAGAGGAAGAGCACCCAGCTGGTGCAGTGAATGACGAACACCAAGGTGGTGGAACTACTGCAAGATGCACTTAAGTACAACGATCAGCTGGAGAGCGCTTTGAAGGAAGAACGGAAGCAGCTAGAAGAAGTACTCGAGTACAGTAAACAGTTGGCGAGTATTCTGAAGGAAGAACGGCAGCAGACGGATAATGTACTCGAGTATAGTGAACAGCTGGCGAGTACTTTGAAGGCAGAGAAGTTGTACAGTGAGCAACTTGAAGATGCTTTAAACTCCGCAACACTGAAGATTAACGAGGGAGAAATATCCAGGGTACAGATGGAGAAAGTGATGAAAGTAAAGTTTCAGTACTGTGACGAGACTGAAGCTTCCTTGGAGGCAGAGAAGCAGCACAGTGCTCAGCTCAAAGCTACCTTGGAGGCAGAGAAGCAGCACAGTGCTCAGCTCAAAGCTACCTTGGAGGCAGAGAAGCAGCACAGTGCTCAGCTCAAAGCAACCTTGGGAGGCAGAGAAGCAGCACAGTGCCCCACTCAAAGGTACCTTGGAGGCAGAGAAGCAGCACAGTGCTCAGCTCAAAGGTACCTTGGGGGCAGAGAAGCAGCACAGTGCTCAGCTCAAAGGAAACCTGGAGGCAGAGAAGCAGCACAGGCTCACTCAAAGGTACCTTGGAGGCAGAGAAGCAGCACAGTGCTCACTCAAAGCTACCTTGGAAGCAGAGAAGCAGCACAGTGCTCAGCTCAAAGCTACCTTGGAGGCAGAGAAGCAGCACATGCTCAGCCCAAAGCTACCTTGGAGGAAAGAGAAGCAGCACGTGCTCAGCTCAAAGCTACCTTGGAAGCAGAGAAGCAGCACAGGGGCTCAGCTCAAAGCTACCTTGGAGGCAGAGAAGCAGCACAGTGCTCAGCTCAAAGCAGAACTTCAACTGCTGAAAGAACAGGATAGCGAACTGAATAATGATTCGCTGGATGTTTACGTAACTTTACAGAAAGAGTTGTTGTTTGTTGAGGATCAGTTAGTTATCAAGAGCGAGGAGTGCGAGAGTCTGGCCGCAACCTCACACATCTTAAAAGTCAGGTTAAGACCACGGAAAAGAATGCTGCAAAATATAAACCCCGGGTTTAAAAAGGTTCATGAAATGGCCAGCAGTCTCATCAAAGAGAACGAGCTTCAAGCTGATCACATTAAGAGTCTTAAGAAAACATTTTAATTTCCAGCGACGAAAATCCCTGAGTTTACACCAGGAAACCGTGGTTCCCCAATGTTGTAAATAACAATCTCCGACCCCACTCTCTGACAACAACTCAAGTTCTGGAAGAAAACCACTAAAGTGAACGTACAAGAGCAAGATAATCTCGAGGAGAAGACGCAGCGAGATAAAGCTTGATGATCTCAGGAGAAAGAAAAAGCAACTGAGGTCAAGCTGATGATCTCGGGGAGAAGAAGAAAGTGAGAAGGTCAAGCTTAAATGATCTCTGGGAGGAAGAAGGAACCGAGGTCAAGCTTAAATGATGATCTCTGGGAGGAAGAAGGAAAACCGAGGTCAAGCTTGATGATGATCTCTGGGAGGAAGAAGGAAACCGAGGTCAAGCTTGATAAAGATCTCTGGGAGGAAGAAGGAACCGAGTCAAGCTTGATGATCTCAGGGAGAAAGAAGAAAGTGAGAAGGTCAAGCTTGATGATCTCTGGGGGGAACGAGGAGAAAACGACTGAGGAGCAGCAGCTGATGTACTTACCGCTTATAAACGTAAAATGTTAATCCCATGATCGAACATGAGAAGAAACGTAAGAAGATGGAAGAACATAAGATGGAAGAACATAAGATGGAAGAACATAAGATGGAAGAACTAAGAAGGAAGAACATAAGACGGTACATATCTTATGCGTTTATGATCTTCCTCTCAGTTGTTTTTAGTCTTCTCTGCCGCTAAAGGGAAAGGGTTTTCCTTGATGGGGTTAAGGGCTCTTGATTTAGGGAATTGGATCTGTGCTCCAGTTCCCCGAATTAAGCCTGAATGCCTTCCACATCCCCCCCCCCAGGCGCTGTATAATCCTACGGGTTTAGCGCTACCCCTTGATTATAATAATACTCTTCTCTGTATTGTGACTAGTTTCTTCCCTTACAAGCAACGTAACTGGCCCTGAGAACCCGAACTGGCCCCTGGGAACCTACCTGGCCTGGCCTCGGGGAAATATAGGGGTCCCATGGGATATTATAGGGGTAAATGGGTACCCCTGGAAGTATTATTAGGGGTCAGTGTTACCCCTGGGGAGCATCAGGGGTTCCCTCACTATTTAATGTATATTTTTATTTTTTTAAATTTAACCAGGCGGAAGAATTAACCCACAGAGTCAGGACTGACTTTTTGTATCGCCTCTGCAAGGACGTTGAAGACGAGGAGATATGTCAGGACATACATAATACCCTGGCAAAATAGTGTTAGACCCACACACTGGGTGTATAAACAGGGGAATCAGTCATAATTACACAAAAAATATCTATAATTAATTAATTCACCTTATTACTCCGCATTCTAGTGTTCGAAAGTGTCCCGTAGCTCGGTTGGTAGCGCACTCAGCTCACACATTGATTGTCCGTGGTTTGATCTCCGTATGGTGGAAACATGAGGAATGTTTCCTTAAGACATCTGCTGCTCCTGTTTACTTAGCAGTAAATGGGTACGTGGTGTTAGTCGACCGTGTGGGTCGCATCCTGAGGACAAAACTTAATTTGCCCAAAATGCTTTTCATAACCAGGGTCTTTCTATATAGCATGTCATTTATGTCATTGGTCGGCTGGTGTGGTAGGACTGACCCGTGGTCTGACAGTCAAAAGCTTTGTGAAAGTGTGGTATGACTGTGGTGGAGAGTGACACGTCCTTTCCCCACCACATACTGTGGAAATATTAGACAAGGAGTGAAACACTGCCTGTGGGGAGGTGGGGGGTTGCAGGGTGTGCACGGTAGCAGGAGGGGGATGTGCTGGAGGATGGAAGCTGTGGGGAGAGTTGGGGGTTGTTTAGCCTGGGGGGAAGGGAGGTAGGTGTGGGGTGTTACTGACCAGGGGTTAAGGGACAGTGTAACCTCCGTTGATACCGATGGGTTCATAACCCCGAGGTACCGGTTCAATCGTCTGGGTCGTGTAACATGGGTGTTTTTTTGCTTAAAACACCTGTTGCTCCCTCCCCCCTAGCGCAGGAAGTATAGGTGCATGTGGGTTTTAGGCGACCGTTGTGAAAGTTAAGGATTCCTAACTTTGACAAGCTAACAGCTTTACCTACATCAGCTCATTTGAAAGCATTTTTATTGTTATGATACAAGTATGGAACAAGAAAGTTGAGCTAAACCTGTGGGGCCCGCATTTTCATCTGATTCAATGACTTTATCTCGCTGACATCATTATGCTGTACGAATAGGTTCCAGACTCGTGTCATCCTGGGATAATGATCTCAGATGAAGTGAGAGTGAAGTTGCTGCTTTCTGCCCGTCTTGTGGTATAGAAGCTTGCTTCATGCTTCTCTCTCTCTCTTTTTACTCCCTCACACTTTCCCTTTCATTCCTCTCTCTATTTTCTTCCTTACCCTCCTCCCTCTCCCTCACTTTCCTCGCTTTTCCCCCAAAATTCCTCCCTCACAAAAATTATCTTTCCTACAAAGTAGTTAATCACTAAATAGTGCCTCTCCCCTCCCCTCCCCCCCTAATTCCCAACCCACACCTTTTCCATTTCACCCGCCCTCGTAGACTTGGGAATTTCCCATGAAAATACCAGGTAAAGACACCATTAATTGCCCTCCTTCCCTAACTGTCTTGTCTCCCTCACCCGGGAAGCTGAGCAGGATCCTGGGGGTCCATTGATAAAATGAAAGACAAAGCTTGCATAGGAAAGTAGACAGGTCATGGAGTCGAAGTCGAGGGCAAATGAACGCGAATGTATTCACTTAAGACATCTTTATTGCATATAATAATGACATATGTACAACAGTTAGGTGTCCGGGGATCTTCATTACTCCAGGAGTTAGTAGACTGTTAGTGCCGTCTCAGAGGAGCACCTAGGGATGTTAGAGGAGCATCTAGGGATGTCATGGGAACAAATAGACATTTAACAGGAGCACCTCGGGATCTCTGTGAAAGCCACATTACTAGGCTTCACACTTGCTGCTCTCGTTCTGTTGCTAGCGCACACTCCTCATACACTAAGGTCCGTGGTTCGATCCCCGGTACGGTTAGAAACATTCAGACGTGTTATCACCGAGCCGACTGGCTTGGGTAGCATCCTGGGGACAAAATTAACATAATTTACCCTTTCCATAACAAAGGGCTTTCTATATAGCATGTCATGGGTGTCAGCTATGGTCTGTATAAGTTGCATCATGTACTAGTACAAATAAATATTATTAATAAAGAGTGAAGAAAATCAACGGGCTGACAAGAGGACAGCTTCTTTGGTATTTTAAGCTCCCATGCGGGTTTAGAGCTTATTTTCGAATCTATAACTCTTTTTAAGGATCAAAAGTCTCGGAACGTAACACTACCATAGCTGGAACAATTCGCAAACTGCTCCACACTTTTTTGGAGACGAAACATTTAGACGACGTTTCGGTCAACCATGGATCATTATCAGTTGACTTGACTATGTCCCAGGATACAGAATTAGCTCTTAAATCGATTATATTTATTGCTCATATAATTATACACATGTTTATTGTGATTTTATCAGCGTTTGTCAGGTAGGTGTGAGATCGTGTGTAGGGAGGTATGGACGTGTATTAAACACGTCAGCGCTGGGAGCTCGTACTTGGGGTGTTGACTGACCAACACCTGTGTAACGGGTTTCTTTATTGCGGAAACGTTTCACCACACAGTGGCTTCCAACACCGAGAAGAATGGTGAAGGATCAGGAGGAGTTTGAGGTAATCAGTCCCTCAGCCTGTTCAGTAGTTCACCACCAAGGTGGTGGTGAACTACTGCAAGATGCACTTAAGTACAACGATCAGCTGGAGAGCGCTTTGAAGGAAGAACGGAAGCAGCTAGAAGAAGTACTCGAGTACAGTAAACAGTTGGCGAGTATTCTGAAGGAAGAACGGCAGCAGACGGATAATGTACTCGAGTATAATGAACAGCTGGCGAGTACTTTGAAGGCAGAGAAGTTGTACAGTGAGCAACTTGAAGATGCTTTAAACTCCGCAACACTGAAGATTAACGAGGGAGAAATATCCAGGGTACAGATGGAGAAAGTGATGAAAGTAAAGTTTCAGTACTGTGACGAGACTGAAGCTTCCTTGGAGGCAGAGAAGCAGCACAGTGCTCAGCTCAAAGCTACCTTGGAGGCAGAGAAGCAGCACAGTGCTCAGCTCAAAGCTACCTTGGAGGCAGAGAAGCAGCACAGTGCTCAGCTCAAAGCTACCTTGGAGGCAGAGAAGCAGCACAGTGCTCAGCTCAAAGGTACCTTGGAGGCAGAGAAGCAGCACAGTGCTCAGCTCAAAGGTACCTTGGAGGCAGAGAAGCAGCACAGTGCTCAGCTCAAAGGTACCTTGGAGGCAGAGAAGCAGCACAGTGCTCAGCTCAAAGGTACCTTGGAGGCAGAGAAGCAGCACAGTGCTCAGCTCAAAGCTACCTTGGAAGCAGAGAAGCAGCACAGTGCTCAGCTCAAAGCTACCTTGGAGGCAGAGAAGCAGCACAGTGCTCAGCCCAAAGCTACCTTGGAGGCAGAGAAGCAGCACAGTGCTCAGCTCAAAGCTACCTTGGAAGCAGAGAAGCAGCACAGTGCTCAGCTCAAAGCTACCTTGGAGGCAGAGAAGCAGCACAGTGCTCAGCTCAAAGCAGAACTTCAACTGCTGAAAGAACAGGATAGCGAACTGAATAATGATTCGCTGGATGTTTACGTAACTTTACAGAAAGAGTTGTTGTTTGTTGAGGATCAGTTAGTTATCAAGAGCGAGGAGTGCGAGAGTCTGGCCGCTAACCTCACACATCTTAAAAGTCAGGTTAAGACCACGGAAAAGAATGCTGCAAAATATAAACGCCGTTTTAAAAAGGTTCATGAAATGGCCAGCAGTCTCATCAAAGAGAACGAGCTTCAAGCTGATCACATTAAGAGTCTTAAGAAAACAGTTAACTTCCAGCGACGAAAATACCTGAGTTTACACCAGGAAACCGAGGTTCTCAATGTTGTAAATAACAATCTCCGACCCCACTCTCTGACAACAACTCAAGTTCTGGAAGAAACCACTAAAGTGAACGTACAAGAGCAAGATAATCTCGAGGAGGAAGACGCAGCTGAGATAAAGCTTGATGATCTCAGGGAGAAAGAAAAAGCAACTGAGGTCAAGCTTGATGATCTCAGGGAGAAAGAAGAAAGTGAGAAGGTCAAGCTTGATGATCTCTGGGAGGAAGAAGGAACCGAGGTCAAGCTTGATGATGATCTCTGGGAGGAAGAAGGAACCGAGGTCAAGCTTGATGATGATCTCTGGGAGGAAGAAGGAACCGAGGTCAAGCTTGATGATGATCTCTGGGAGGAAGAAGGAACCGAGGTCAAGCTTGATGATCTCAGGGAGAAAGAAGAAAGTGAGAAGGTCAAGCTTGATGATCTCTGGGAGGAACGAGGAGCAACGACTGAGGAGCAGCAGCTTGATGTACTTACCGCTTATAAACGTAAAATGTTAATCCACATGATCGAACATGAGAAGAAACGTAAGAAGATGGAAGAACATAAGATGGAAGAACATAAGATGGAAGAACATAAGATGGAAGAACATAAGAAGGAAGAACATAAGACGGTACATATCTTATGCGTTATGATCTTCCTCTCAGTTGTTTTTAGTCTTCTCTGCCGCTCAAGGAAGGTTCCTTGATGTTGGTTAAGGGCTCTTGATTTAGGGAATTGGATCTGTGCTCCAGTTCCCCGAATTAAGCCTGAATGCCTTCCACATCCCCCCCCCCCAGGCGCTGTATAATCCTACGGGTTTAGCGCTACCCCTTGATTATAATAATACTCTTCTCTGTATTGTGACTAGTTTCTTCCCTTACAAGCAACGTAACTGGCCCCTGAGAACCCGAACTGGCCCCTGGGAACCTACCTGGCCTGGCCTCTGGGAAATATAGGGGTCCCATGGGATATTATAGGGGTCAGTGGGTACCCCTGGGAAGTATTATTAGGGGTCAGTGTTACCCCTGGGTAGCATCAGGGGTCCCTCACTATTTAATGTATATTTTTATTTTTTAATTTAACCAGGCGGAAGAATGTAACCCACAGAGTCAGGACTGACTTCTTGTATCGCCTCTGCAAGGACGTTGAAGACGAGGAGATATGTTCAGGACATACATAATACCCTGGCAAAATAGTGTTAGACCCACACACTGGGTGTATAAACAGGCGAATCAGTCATAATTACACAAAAAATATCTATATATTATATTAATTCACCTTATTACTCGCATTCTAGTGTTCGACGTGTCCCGTAGCTCGGTTGGTAGCGCACTCAGCTCACACATTGATTGTCCGTGGTTTGATCTCCGGTATGGGTGGAAACATTGAGGAATGTTTCCTTAAGACATCTGCTGCTCCTGTTTACTTAGCAGTAAATGGGTACGTGGGTGTTAGTCGACCGGTGTGGGTCGCATCCTGAGGACAAAACTTAATTTGCCCAAAATGCTTTTCATAACCAGGATCTTTCTATATAGCATGTCATTGATGTCATTGGTCGGCTGGTGTGGTAGGACTGACCCCGTGGTCTGACAGCTCATAGCTTTGTGAGAAGTGTGGTATGACTGTGGTGGAGAGTGACACGTCTTTCCCCACCACATACTGTGGAAATATTAGACAAGGAGTGAAACACGTGCCTGTGGGGAGGTGGGGTGTTGCAGGATGTGCACGGTAGCAGGAGGGTGATGTGCTGGGAGGATGGAAGCTGTGGGGAGAGTTGGGGGTTGTTTAGCCTGGGAGGAAGGGAGGTGAGGTGTGTGGGTGTTACTGACCAGGGGTTAAGGGACAGTGTACCTCCGTTGATACCGATGGGTTCATAACCCAGAGGTACCGGGTTCAATCGTCTGGGTCGTGTAACATGGGTGTGTTTTTGCTTACACACCTGTTGCTCCTCCCACCTAGCGCAGGAAGTATAGGTGCATGTGGGTTTTAGGCGACCGTTGTGAAAGTTAAGGATTCCTAACTTTGACAAGCTAACAGCTGTTACCTACATCAGCTCATTTGAAAGCATTTTTATTGTTATGATACAAGTATGGAACAAGATGAAGTTGGAGCTACCTGTGGGCCAGCATTTTCATCTGATCAAATGACTTTATCTCGCTGACATCATTATGCTGTACGAATAGGTTCCAGACTCGTGTCATCCTGGGGATAAATGATCTCAGATGAAGTGATGAGTGAAGTTGCTGCTTTCTGCCCGTCTTGTGGTATAGAAGCTTGCTTCATGCTGTCTCTCTCTCTCTTTTTACTCCCTCACACTTTCCCTTTCATTCCTCTCTCATATTTCTTCCTTACCCTCCTCCCTCTCCCTCACTTTCCTCGCTTATCCCCAACATTCCCTCCCTCACAAACATTATCTTTCCTACAAAGTAGTTAATCACTAAATAGTGCCTCTCCCCTCCCCATCCCCACCTAATTCCGACCCACACCTTTTCCATTTCACCCGCACTCGTAAGACTTGAATTTCCCATGAAAATACCAGGTAAAGACACCATTAATTGCCCTCCTTCCATAACTGTCTTGTCTCCCTCACCAGGGAAGCTGAGCAGGATCCTGGGCGTCCATTGATAAAATGAAAGACAAAAGCTTGCATAGGAAAGTAGACAGGTCAGTGGAGTCGAAGTCGAGGGCAAATGAACGCGAATGTATTCACTTAAGACATCTTTATTGCATATAATAATGACATATGTACAACAGTTAGGTGTCCGGGGATCTTCATTACTCCAGGAGTTAGTAGACTGTTAGTGCCGTCTCAGAGGAGCACCTAGGGATGTTAGAGGAGCATCTAGGGATGTCATGGGAACAAATAGACATTTAACAGGAGCACCTCGGGATCTCTGTGAAAGCCACATTACTAGGCTTCACACTTGCTGCTCTCGTTCTGTTGCTAGCGCACACTCCTCATACACTAAGGTCCGTGGTTCGATCCCCGGTACGGTTAGAAACATTCAGACGTGTTATCACCGAGCCGACTGGCTTGGGTAGCATCCTGGGGACAAAATTAACATAATTTACCCTTTCCATAACAAAGGGCTTTCTATATAGCATGTCATGGGTGTCAGCTATGGTCTGTATAAGTTGCATCATGTACTAGTACAAATAAATATTATTAATAAAGAGTGAAGAAAATCAACGGGCTGACAAGAGGACAGCTTCTTTTGGTATTTTAAGCTCCCATGCGGGTTTAGAGCTTATTTTCGAATCTATAACTCTTTTTAAGGGATCAAAAGTCTCGGAACGTAACACTACCATAGCTGGAACAATTCGCAAACTGCTCCACACTTTTTTGGAGACGAAACATTTAGACGACGTTTCGGTCAACCATGGATCATTATCAGTTGACTTGACTATGTCCCAGGATACAGAATTAGCTCTTAAATCGATTATATTTATTGCTCATATAATTATACACATGTTTATTGTGATTTTATCAGCGTTTGTCAGGTAGGTGTGAGATCGTGTGTAGGGAGGTATGGACGTGTATTAAACACGTCAGCGCTGGGAGCTCGTACTTGGGGTGTTGACTGACCAACACCTGTGTAACGGGTTTCTTTATTGCGGAAACGTTTCACCACACAGTGGCTTCCAACACCGAGAAGAATGGTGAAGGATCAGGAGGAGTTTGAGGTAATCAGTCCCTCAGCCTGGAGGCAATGTAATCAGTCTGAGGTACTCCAGGCTGAGGGACTGAGTACATCAACATCCCAGAACACTTGTGCAACACCCAAGCGTTGTACAGGTGTTTCATTCATCAACATATGATGCTTGATGATGTCAGGGTTATCCATGATTCTCATTGGTTGTTTTCACTGTGATAGTCTCTTCATTTTGGAGTTAGTTCTCTTATAAGCGAATTCTTAGTCAATTAACAACCTCGCTAGGTCTCTTAACAGGCCTCTAAACAGCCCCCATCGGCCCCTTAATTGTAGCCTTGGGTCCCTTAAGAGGCACTTCCGAGCCTTAACAGCCCCATCATAGGTAACTCAAGCCTCGTGTGTCCCTTTACCCCCTCCCAGGATAATTAAACTTGCAAGAAAAACAAACATTTAGCTTTGTGGGCGTGTGTGAGGCGGGGTTGTGAGTCCCTACTGGCTGTCTCTCCTTACCGTCTCTCATGCTGGAGACAACTTTGATGCTCCGACACCACCGTGGGTGTATGAGGCGGAGTGGGATCTTCACCGTGGGTGTATGAGACGGAGTGGGATCTTCACCGTGGGTGTATGAGGCGGAGTGGGATCTTCACCGTGGGTGTATGAGGCGGAGCGAGATCTTCACCGTGGGTGTATGAGGCGGAGTGGGATCTTCACCGTGGGTGTATGAGGCGGAGTGGGAGCTTCACCGTGGGTGTATAATGTTAAAATGCCAGACCATAGAACGGTACTAGCACAAACCATCTAGCCAGATGGTCAACAAATACTAGAACATAGCAGAGTCCTAAGTGACTATGCAGATCCACAAAACTTACTCCAACTCAATCTTCCAGCTCTTTAATTTCTGAGAAAGCTTGTTATCTAGAATTAATCCTAGAGAGTTACTTTCCTCCTCTGACAATGGCAACCAAACTTGACATACTTAGGACAAGAGATCAGGAAACCAATAAGTGTCTTTTTTGTCCTCTTAGGAGTTCTAAATTAAGACTCCTGGTTGGCCGGCAATGTTATCTGAATGAGTTTGCTCTACAGCTGCGTCCCTGAGGTAACACTAACTGCATCAGTGAATGACGGGTTTGCACCCGGTACAACACATCATTTTGCATCTCTGACTCATCATCAACATTCAAGGTTGACTTAAAGTTCGAAAATTTACCTCTTTCCAGGTATTGAATTACTCCCATTTATAATATTGCCATTGATGTACCTTTTAAATTTCCACTAGCTAGTGACTCCATATTTGCATCTTCATTAAATGTTACTTCTTTCCTACTCGAGGTATCAACACATGGTGGGACACTCCAGGCTTATGCAAGATTAAGCAAGAGTGAGCTGAGCTGAAAGCTCATGGCCCCTGAGTAGACATCCCAAGTTAACAAGTTTTATGAATACATAAAACAATGGCCCGTGGTCTGTTGCTACTTTAAAATGGCGCTGAAACACGCAAGGCTCAAAATACCTCACAGTAGGAACCCCAGTGAGGGTGTCCGGAAAAATATATCAATCGAATTAATAAGTATAGGCAGTTTGAGGGTATTACTGGAGATCCCATATCACTGATAACACACTCGGCCTGACTGTTCACAGACCGGGCTGCGATAAGCCGAGGACAGTCTTCACTGTTCCTTGGGCCGAATTTCCCGTACTAAAATAACGCTATATATATTTAAATAAATTAAAATTGGTCACCTTTGTTGCATATCTACAGACTCTGGTAGTTAATGCTATTGCAGTAATTATAGAGCTGTTGTGTAGTTGACAGTGATGTGGTAGCTAATAAAATGCTGTAGTGGCCAATAAAATGCTGTGGTAGGGCATTGGTTGCTAATATAATGCCATGGTAGTGTGGGTTAACGTGACAGTGGAGTTTCGTTGCAGATTAACAAATGATAATTTCCGAGTCATCTCAATCTGTCGTTACATTTCTCTTCTTAAACAGATAATTAATTCTGTAAAGCCTTTACTGGTACAAGGTTTTGCCCACGAGTGAGCTTTACCAAGCACACAGTAACAAGGAAAAAATGACAGCTAGTACAGGTCATCCGGAGCTGGTGATCAGAGGTAAATAAGCAAAAATCTTTCTTCTGGAGACGTTTCGTCCACCTGCGGCTTTATCAGTCCAATACAGAGAAATACTGGAGAAGGTGGAAGACGTGAAGAGGAAATTTGAGGTGATCAGTCCCTCGGTCTTAATAGGCGTTTCGTCCCTCAGTCTTGATGAATCTATGACGAGGTATACTGATGATGCTTAAAACATGTGCTGTATAGCCCTTGTGGCTTAGCGCTTCTTTTTGATTATAATAATAATTAAAAACATGTGCAGTATCTGCTTATCTCTGTAGATGTTTCGCCATCTAGTAGCTTTATCAG